AAGTTCTGTTTCAAGCAAAAAAATTACAAGCTACCCAGTAAGCACAGAACGTTTTTAAAACGTTTAAAAAACGTATGAAAACCGTTTTTAACGTTTTTTAAACGTTTCAAAAACGATCTGTGTTTACTTGGTATTCTGGCATGGGTTTGAATATTAAATTTTTGAATATGTTTGAAACATTTAATGGAACGCTGTATCCAAGCTGCCGTTTGGATACAGCGAACTAAAGTGATTGCCGAAATGCAAAATGTAAAACTGAAGTCACTCTTTCCAATGCTTCTATAAGGAACTGCTTATTTAGTACACGATGGTTTAAACGCTGAAAATAAGCAAGACGAAGAAGAAGTAGAGCGTGTCTTGCTAGCTGCATTCTCTTTAGATATTTATACAGCATACAAACTTTTTTTGTTAAACGATAATTAAATGTTGGAGAGAATGTTGATGTGTTTTTGTCTAAAGAATTTTTTTTGATGTTGAACACGTGGTTGCAAAATGCTCAATGAAGCAGGAAAACGAGTGAGGGAGCGAGGAATGTGCGCTACCTTGTTCCTGAACAATGGTGGAATTAGCACATTAACTATTATTCATCTAAAAATTAATGGTTTGTTAGAGATAACAATGGTAGACACGTGTTGTTCAAAGATAATTATACATCAAAAACTGTTGTCAAGAAATCAAAATAAATCCCAGAATCCTCCAAAGGTAGTTTTATTGTGCGATCCAGCTTATGGTGATTTGGCTGTATATGGTGACGAGGGGAATGTGTGGGCCGATACAAGTTCTTTGCAAAAGGTGCGGATATTCAATTGGTAAAACTACTGTAAAAGATGCAACATGGCTATGAAAAGAAATGTCTAAGGATCGCATAAACATGGCGGAGCTGGATGCTGTAATGCGAGGAATGAATATGGCTTTGACGAGAAAATTAAAGAAAGTGATTATCTTCACAGATTTCGTGACATTTCTTCCACTGAGTCTCTGACGCTCTCACTGGTTAGTCAAGATTGAAATCTAAAGCAATGACCAAAATGTTGATTCAATGAAGATTAAGCGTTCTGTAACAATGTATTGAAGAAAATGGTGTTAAAGTGAATGTAAAACTTGTTCCTTCAAAAGAAAACTTGGCTGACGCATTGACTAGAGTTCGAAGTAGATTGTTGAATAAATTGACGGAGGCTAAGCATTCAAGTAATTCCGTTGGAGCAGTGTTTGCAGAGGCTGAATCCATTTTATAGCAAACACAAGAGAACTGAACACTTTGAAGTGAATCGCACTCTAAACTTTGTTCGTAAAGTAATTCCAACCGCTACCGAAAATGACGTTAGAGAGGTAAATTTTTATATAGATATATTTAAAATATAAATTAGGTTATTTTTATTGTTATTTATTTAAGAAATAGTTGCCGAGCCAACGCTGGATTTATGTAACTACGCATATGGTTGTAAATGGAATTAAATTAAACTCTGTAGTATTCATATTATTTTTAAGTTTCCTGAATTCCTCATCCGTGCTTCGAGGCCTTTTCCTTGTTTGTAAGTATGTTTGAAAGAAGAAAAAAATCTATTGGATTAAGGTGTGGCGTGTATGCTGGCAGATACTTAATAATTTTACCATGAGAGGCTAGTGTTTGCCTAACAGAAAGATTGCAGTGGAATTTACAGTTGTCCATAACAAGCACCAGCGTTTCCACATTTGCATTCCCAATTGCTGGTGTCATCATTGTAGTTATGAAAGTACAAAATGAATCTGCATTTCAGTTTTTGTTTCTAAGGCAAGCACTCCCATTGTTGAAACAGCACAAATTAAACTAAAAATCTTGCCACGAATTGCAGGTGACTGTAAAATTTCTGGCGTACCTCTTAGTAAATAACCAAATGTGCTGTTAGTGATAAGTCTTTCATCTAAATTCCGTTTATTTCGATTGCAAATAATGCGTGCATTAACCTGTGTTGCAAATTTGCAAAAATTGCAAAAAAGCGTGCTTTAATTACTCGTGTTGAGTTTAGTTCTTCTGGCACATGCGCAACACGTTTCCTTGATAAATCCGAGTGTTTGAGTTTTCTTAAACTAGTAGGCTGAGACATTTTGAAGCCTGCTGCAGAAAGATTTTCTTTTATTGCTTCTTGCGTGCAAAGATTGTTTTCTTGTACGCATAATTCGATAATGTGTTTTATTTGAGAGTTTATAGGTCTTATTCCTCGTTTTTAATCAAAAAACAACTTGAATGCAATCATGTTGTCGAATTATTTTCTGTTTAACTTAACGAAAAGATTTTGAACTGCGCGCTTTGATAAATTAAGAGATGTGGAAATGCTTCTTGTAGATTGATTTTTTTCACCTAAATGCTTAAGCATTTTAACGTGCTCTTTTGTAACATTTTTATATGTTTTACGATTGGTACTGCTGTTTTCTATTCCATCCATAGGGATGTATAATTTGATATTAATAATAATTATAAGTAATTAAATTTAAATCCCAGATAAGAGAATAATTAGATAAATAATAACTTAATAAATCAAGAAAGTTAATAATAAAATTAAAAAGAACTTATACTAAATTAAATAAACCATCATCGAAAACAAAGAATTAATACTAAATTAAATAAACGATCATCTAATATAAAAAGTCTTTGTTTTAAGTATTTTGAACTTCGTTTACCAGGAAATAAGAAAAATTTGTTTTGAAAAGAAAAACTGCTTTCTTTAAAACAAATTGCTTAATTGATTTTTTTGTTGTTCAAATTGCTTATTTACAATTTCTTTTGTAAAAGACATCTAAGAATGAATAAATGCGCATATAAGAATGAATAAATGCGCGTATAAGAATGAGTAAATGCACATATAAGAATGATTAAAAACGCATATAAAAATGAATAAATACGCATATAAGAATGAATAAATGCGCATATAAAAATGAATAGATGCGCATATAAAAATGAATAAATGCGCATATAAGAATGAATAAATGCGCATATAAAAATGAATAGATGCGCATATAAAAATGAATAAACCTGTAATATTATTATTAGGTTGTCATTAACTTAAAATTACTAATTATAAACGAAAATAGTAACTTTAATTACTATTTTACTAATAATAACTCTTTATTACTTTTATATATAGCTACTATTTATATATATTTCAGGCTTGGTCGGGATGCGGGTGCGATCGCACTCGATAATTGACCATGGAAATTATATTTACTTGCGAAAAGCCGGCCAGATTTTTCAGGCGTTTTGAGAACATTTCAATTTATGTATGTTTCTATGTTTGTCCGCAAAATAATAAGTTCATTTTATCGTAAATTTAAAATATTTTTTTTTACGGACGTACATGGAAATTTATATAAACTTGAATGTTGTCAAAGGTCTTAGTGCGGAAAAATAAATAAAGAACATTCGCGAACACAAAAAACCCGCCAAATTTACGAACAACTAATTCTATTAGTTCAATTAATAAATAACTGAAATTACTACGCGACTGTTTTAGAGTATTCTGTTGAATTATTTTTCAAAATCTTTTTTTTTTGTTTTCGTTGAGAATTTTAGCATCAATTGTTTTTAGAATATACTATCAAACGAACAATTATTTTAATACAATGGCTCATTCTCGGAGTCACATCCATAAAGCTATAAATGTTTTAAACTAACATTTGTTTACAAAAATAAATGTTTTAAATTTATATTTTTTAACTTGTCAGCGTTTTGTAAATATATTATAGATTTAATTAGTATAATCTTATTTTTTATATATAAGGGATGTATTTATATGTATGTAATGTATTAGAAATTGGTTTATTAACTTCAATTATTTTTGCTTCAGCCATTCTTACAAACTCGTTATACTTACACTTAAAGTTTTTTTTTTCTGTAAAATACTAGTTAAAGATATAAAGCCCACTCACTAAACATCATCAGCGATATTGTTAAGCAGTTCCGCTTCCTCCTTACAAAGTAATTTAACGTTTTTAGTTAATTTCTATCTAGCTAATTAAGTTTCCACTGTAACTCAATGATTTAGTTATTTCATTTGTTCATCTTACTAAGAAGAATTGTTTCAAATATGTTAAACTTTTCAAACTACGCGAGGCATAAAACAGGTACTGAAAAAACTTTTATTATTTATAATTAAATTATATAGCGTTAGTTTTATTGGTTTAATCTTGTTGGACTTTACAGGGCCGGGGGCTGCATTATTTTGGTGGCCTTTTTTATGTGCGACAGCGTAAAAATGACTTAAAAATACCGATAGGTCCTCTTGACTATTTTTAGCCCATAGCATAGTGTGTCCCGGGACTATAGCTCCTCTACCCTCCCCCCACCTCTTATTTCCAGCACTGGAAATAAAACATAAGTATATAAATAAAAATTATATATAATCCTTGATAAATTAAACAATCATAATTAGTACGTTGTTACTATATACAAAAAATGTCGCTTTTTAAAAAAAAAAAAATTATAAAAGAGCGACGTTTCAAAAATATTTTGAAACTCTAATTGTATTTATTTTGCTTAAAGTTTTGCGTTAAAAGCTATTTTTTTTTTTAACTGTATCTTATCGGTCCAGTGTATCTTATTGCGCTTTTTTGCTTGTTTTTGAAATGTTCTCAAAACGCCTAAAAAATCTGGCCAGCTTTTCGCAACTAAATATAATTTCCGTGGTTAAATATCGAGTGCGATCGCACCCGAGCCTGTAATATTTATTACTAATATAAACAACCATGAATTTATAAAACTTCTTTATAAAATAAATTGATTAACTGAACAGTTTTTTAAACATTTTTTATTAAAATACTTTACATATTTATTGCACTATTTTTCTGTAAATATTTTTGTTGTAGACCTTATCTCGGTCAGATTTTTATTAAATGATAATAAATAAAAACTTTTAAATAAAAATGTATATAGACATTTAATTTCGTGTTAACTTTATTATTTTATTCTTTAGCATTTTTTTAATTTGATAAAGTATTGATATTACATTTTTAACATTTACTTTAAGAATATTTGTTCTTACTTAATGATACTGGAGTTCTTGAAATATCATTTAAAAACAATTACAGTGATGTTCAAGAAAATGACATGATATGGATTGATGGAAATGATAGTTTGATTTATAATAGAACAGACAATGAACCAATGAATGGAATTCAACTTAATAAAACAATAACCTTTTCTACATGTAATGCTTCCAGCAAAGGTTTTTTTATATTATTTTTTGTATCAAAGCCATTTGAATATTTGATTCCAATCAATGGAGTGGGATTACCTAATTTTTATGTAAATGTCTCCAATTACATGCCATCTTTTCAAAGAGTGAATGATTTATTTCTGATTCAGGTTTGTTAAATACTAATGTTATGTTTTATTTTTACGCGTTCAAAAATTACTAAAAATATAACGTATGATATAATATAATTACATCGTGTTGTAATTTTGAGTAAATTTTAAATTTTTCACAAATAGAAACGCTAATAATACTAATAAAATCATTTTTGTTAAAAGAACAAAAGAAATTTATTATAAAATAATGAAATTAAAAAATAGAATAGTACTTTACTTAATATTACTGTGTCATTTAGTATTGAGTTATTTATTATTGAAGTTCTTTGATTTTATCTTTAATAATCTCTAAGGTTGATAATTTAAATTTGTTACCAATGATTCTATTGTTATGTAGTTTTTTTTATTCATGTTATTTTTTAACTTGTTTAAAATCAAAATATGTAAATTTGTTTTGCAAGAATTTTTTTGAAAACGTAACAAATGTATTGTCATAATTTTTTTAAATTTGTATTTTTTAAAGCTAATTTTGTTACTTTTATTATTAAGCTATTACTATTTTTTGATTATTAATTAATCAAAAAATAGTTTTTAAGCTAACAATGAAAACAGCATTATTATTTTTAAAAACATTATATTATATAATAATAATAAATAATACTTATTTTTTAGTTTACTTTTAAAGCATTTACTTTAAACCAGCGATATCTTAAATATCTAATACTGAGCTTTATTAAGTTGTTTACATTTATGTAACTTTGCAACCTTTTTTTATAGACTCCAGTTTCTGGTTTACGATTTGCTGAAAATAATCCATTTCCAAAAAATATTGCAGGCTACAAGCTTAACAGCTTGTTACCATTAAAAGCTGTCATACAAAACGGTTCAGATGTTCGATATTTGTTTGATATTCCAAAGTTAAATTATTCTTTGAACATATCCAGTGGAGACGCAGTAACTTTTAACATGACTAGTTTAGGTAATTTTATCCATAAAAATGTAATAGTAATTTTATATAAACCTATCATAATTTTATATAAACCTATTTAATATTTATAAAACATCTTGTTTAATGTTTTTAAGTAATGTTTACAGGAAATAACTCTTTTTAACTTCTCCAGGTCAGGTCAAGTTGAAGACCATCACGATCAACCTGCCTACTAGTATCATGTAACCCAGTACTACCTTCCCCATGACCTAATGCCTAGTAGGGTTTCTTTTTTAGGTAAAGACTAGGAATTAAAAACTACAACTTCAACTGCCCCTAGATTGGGGTTAACCTTAGTAAAGTAAAGTATTAAATAAGTTAAGTAAAAGTTTTCTTGTGCCTCATTGATAGCCGCTATGCAATTCTTTTTAATGGTTCTCAAGTCGGCTTGTAGTAAGGTTCCAGAAATATTTAATTCTACCCAAAATCTGTTATAGCTCTCAAAGAGGGTGGTTCTATCAACAGCTGTAATATGTCAGAGTATTAAGAGTGCCATGTTGCCCATGGATTGTGTTCTAGTAAATGCTTTTGGTGTACATTATAGAGACCACAAAAAGCCGTAGATTTTGACTTTCAGTTAATTAACGAGCTGAGACTTAGTTAGGCGGACAAAGATATGCTCAGGATGTGATGCTTTATTTATGAATGAGTCAAATTCTCTATTAATATAAATCAAAACAGAAGTAACCCAAAATATTAAACTTAGAAGGCCATTCCCACTATCTAACTGTTTGATATTCTTTTTACAAATATTTACACTTTGCAAAAAGCAAACTTCCATCAGTTGAATCTTACCACTTGGAAAAGTCATTAGATTTGTATGCTTTTAGTAAGACTAGTCCATCTTTAGGTTTCAGTGTTGATGGGCAATACCCTTCAATTCCCAAAGACTCCCTTAATCACATGCTTGGCTTGGGCGTATACATACGCATCAATTCACCTGTTTGTTGTGAAATCGGGTTTGAATACTTTGACAATTCTTTTATGTGCTTGCGCTAAGTATCTTTTCACTCTATCACCTTTCTATTTGTTTATTATTGTTTCCCTTCTTCCCGAGCTTGCACTTTTTTAGAAAAAATTTCTGATCAAATTTAGTTTTCCATTTCAATTTACCCATCAACCAATAATGTTCTTATTGAA